CCCCCGCGGCCGGCGGGGCGCCCCGAGGGCGGGCGCGGGCGTTGCGCGGGCGGCGGGCGCGGCGAGGCGGAGGAGGAGGAGGAGGAGGAGGCCGCGGCCCAACCGGTGCTCGGCGCCTCCCCGGGCCCCGCTGCGGCGGGGGGCGGCCGGCGGCGGGCGCTGAACGGCTGCGTGCCGCTGTCGCACCAGGTGGCCGGGCACATGTACGGCAAGGATAAAGGCGGTGAGCGGCGGCGGCGGGCGCGGGGAGCGGGCGGCGGGCGGGCCACCTGTGAGGGGATTCCCCCCACCGCGCCCTCCGTTGATCCGAACTCGCAGGGCGGCGGGGCGAGCCTGGCTTCGATTCTCCTCACGCCCCGCAGCTGGCGGGGCGAGGGTCGGTGCGGGGAGGGGCCCCGGTGCCGCCGGGCAGGGCAGGCAGGGCTCGCCGTGCCCGAGCTCCGCTCGCACCTGTCCGCCGGCGGGGTGTCTGTGTTGGGGCCCGGGGCCATCGCAGTGCCGAGGGGCCGAGGCCTCCCTGCGAGGGGAGGGAGGGGATATTCAAGTAACAGCGTGCTAGTACCCTCAGAACATATACAGTGGGAAACATGTATAAAGGGAGCTCCCAAACCTGTGGCCACCAGAAACTTCGGCAAAATATTAGTAAGCAATTATTAGTTGCTGATTTGATGACCGGTCTGAAGCAACGGATAGTAAGCAGTCTGATAATACAAAATACCCTGAGGATACAGCATTTTTAGGTATACCTCCATTAGCTTTAAATTTATATTTTAATTTATTTCCACCTTGAGGAATGAGGTGTTGGCCGTTCTCATGAAGGGGCCTTTTGAAATAGGCAGTGGTCAGTGCCGAAGCGAGCAGTCAAGTTAATGTTGCCAAATGGCATTTCTCACCCTCCCAGGACATCACATCTGCTGTACTCTGAGCCGAGTGGAAGGTACACAATCATTCAACTCCCAGTGTGCAGTTTGAGAGTAGCTGTAACAAGTACCTGCTGTCATATTGCCTTTGAACCCTGTCAGTAGGAACCACCCCTGCTGAATAGGCCAAGGGCTGAATTTCAGAACCCTTTCAACCATCAGTGGTGATATTACAGCACTGATGGTACTGTGAGTTTGTCTTATCTACAGCCTGCATCCATGGTGTGTCTTGCTGCTGATAATCTGGACAGAAAAGTCATTCTTCCCCTTGACCCTGCCAAGGGCTGAACTCCAGAACCCTTTCAGTCATCAGTGAATGGAATTACAGCACTAAGGGCACTGTGAGTTTGTCTTATCTACAGCCCGTGCCCATGGCATGTCTTGCTGCTGATAACCTCTACAGAAAAGTAATTCTTTTACCTTGCCCATGCTGCAGCTGGTGCATTAAAATGTTGATGGAAGTGCGTTGGATCCTTGAAGCTGTCTGTCTGTCTGTCTGTGGGATCAGGCAGAACAGGCTCACTTCAGGGGGAGCTTTGTCTTTTGCACATCAGTTTTATTGCTGTTGGATTGAACAGTGCAGGTGATCGTATTGCAAGTGCCAACTCGGATGGGTTTGGTAAAACTAACTCCACTGCATCTCATGGCCAAGACCAAGATTTTCCTGCAGAGGTACCACCATGGTTGATGATCTCATCTTAGGAATTTTATGTTGGAGATCAGAGCTGCTCTGGTACTCACAGCTCTCTCATTTTTGTAACTTGACGTTCCCTTCTATCCCGGCACACAAACACTCAGAGGACTTAAAGGTATCCAAAGTATTTTTAACTGTTTTATTATTTTTTTTTTAGTTAAAGTACACTTTAATTTTTTTTTTTTTTGCCATAGGATTTCCTCCTCCTGAATAACCTTTACGTTTTTCCTTTGTTCTCTGTGGCTGTTACTGCCTTGCAAAGAAAGGCCTCTCACAGCCTCCCTGCATGCACGTGTAGACATTTGGCTTTTGAGCACTCCCACTGGCCTTTTGTTGAATGCTGTGTGCTTCCCCCAGATAAATTGTGTGTATTAAGTAGAGTAACCACCTTGGGTTGTGGCTCTAATTCCGTAGGGGAGTAGGAATTCAGAGACAGGACCTGGTGGGATACACCACCTTATAGGACCTCCCTCTGCGGTTTGGTGCCTGTAACTTCACAGTGCTGGGGGTTCCCAGGCCATTAGTGGGGTTCTGTAGGTAAAGGAGCCATTCTCCTTCAGAGTTACTTCCTTGCTCATGCAAATCACAAACCTAACTCTGGCTGCTGTTTTCCTGGTGCTCAGGTTAAGATGGCTCATACATACTGGTCTGCCCTTATTAGATACCCTTAGAGGACAGAGGATCTTCTCTAAAGTGAATGTTTGACGTATTTGTGCAAGCAGGTTTTGTCTATAGCTCAGTGAAGCACCTGGATTGGATGAGGTTGTTTTGTTTAGAAGAGTGCATACAACTGCACCGGTTATTTTTGCAGCAGCTTTGTGTTCCAGAATGGTAGCAAGCTTTGCAGGCACAGCCAAAGAGAAATTGTTGGTGAGATATTTCAGGATTTTATTCTCTGTATAGTTCTGCTGCTTCTTTAGAAATGTTGAGTTGCTTACCCATGTACAATACTACTCCCTGTCTGTGCTGAAAAACCCCAGGAAGCCTACAACCAAGCCATGGCCAGCATTGTTATGTTACTGTGATCTGCAGATGATGGTATCTCTGCTTGTTGTTATTGTAGGTCATAGGGAAGGTTATGGAGTTTACATCTTCGTGCTGAATGTTGTAATGTGACTCTGGTTTCTGGGCCTGCCCTGGTCACAGTGACTGAGTAGGTGCTCGAGTCTCTTAAGAAATGCAGAGAATGGGGAAACTTTTACATCAGTTTATATTAAACTCTTCAAGTAATATGGATCAGTGCAGTAGTGTATGGATTCTATTTCCAGGAATCTTTATCTGATCTTTCTATCTTGTAGGTTGTCTGCTTGTCTTATCATCAAAGCCAAAACGCAGATTTTGAAGAGTATGTCTTATAAAACCTGTTTTAATGTTGTAGCAGTTTGCATGCACAACACGTGCCATTCAAATACTTGGTGCACTTTGCAGAGTGGTTTCCAGCACATGCAAAAGGGGGGGACACAAACTATTGTGTCTTGAAGATGTTGTGGTAGTCAGCACATTATTATGTGGCAGTATTTTTCTAGTTTTGGAAAGTATACAAAATCCAACTTTGAGCAAGAAACATGACTTGAGAGCTGTTTTATGCAAACTTTAAAAGCCAGTCTTAGGTATAAACAACTACTGAAACAACTATTCTGCGTCTGGTGGTTGTTTTAACGTAAATATCTTGGTCTCTGAAGATTTTATTTAGTTTCCAGGGCTGCACAACAGAGCCCATTCATAGATAATGGTTTTTAAAAGATGAAAACACAATTGCTGTTACAACTGCAAACTCTGTTTGGGACACAAAGCTCCTGGCTCGTTTTTCTGTGTTTTTTTTCAAGCAGTAAGCTGAAAGTGCAGCCTCTTTTGGATAGGGATGACATTTTTGCTTCCCTTCTAAACAAAACAGATTACTGTCTGAAAAGCTCCAAATAAATCCTAGGAAAAAAAAAAATTTCCAGAAGTGGCTTTTCCTTCTTCCCTTGCAACTTATGGTGTTGAAACTCGGGGCACATTTCAGAGGATTGTAGTTACTTTTCTCCATTCTTGGGGCATCCATCTCTTCAGTACCCTTAAATACTCAGTTGCATTTCTTATGAGCTACTTAGAAATACTGATGACTGGAAGGTCATTAAAGCTGTTTCAGGAGGATATTTTTGAGGGTTTTTTTTGTGCAGGCACGATGAAGGTATTGCCTGGCTGAGGTGAAATTCTGTGCTGTAATTATGGGTGATACAAATAGCATGGAGTGCTGTAGGGGCACTACTTCTAGTAATAAAGACATACTCTTTCCGTAGGGATGTACATCCACATGACACTTATTTCTGTTTTAATAGTAAGAAATGCATTAAATATGATACTCTTTTAACTTCCTGGCGTTGTTGGAAAAAAATAATTTTTGAGTTATTTTAGAAGGGAGTGTTTATGCAATCTTAGTGGTGGGTTTTTGGGGGTGGAACTTTTAATGTCAAATTCCATTGCTGTGCTGGCCTTGAGCAGAATAAGACCCAGAAAATCATCCAATGGCTAGAAATAGAGGAATGCAAGCAAACCTCTGCAAAGGGTCACGTGTAGGAACTGACAGTTTTGACTCTACTGTCTGTGCACCTGAAGCAGTACAGCTTTTCAAATGGGCTCTCCTTGATGGTGAATTCACTATTCCTGGGGGGGGAGGGAAGAAAGACCATACCTCTTAAAACTAAGCCCTGAAGGAAATGCTTCTCTTCTAGGCATACTGCAGCATCCAGATGGGACTGTCCTGAAGCAGCTGCAGCCACCACCTCGTGGTCCCAGGGAACAGGAGTTCTACAATAAGGTGAGGGTCCTGCAGTGAAGAGGGGGGTGGCTTGCTGCAGGTGAAATGCTGGGTGTGCTTCCTGTAGGAGTGCATCCTTATCATTGCAGTTGGGAAAGTGCAACCTAAATATTGGAATGGTGTGCTACCAACAGCCCTGCCATGGTGTCTGTGTGCTGTCTAGAACTTTCTCCTCTTTGCATCTCAGTCCCCCCATGCCAGACCTACTTCACTCTGGGATTTAAGCTTGCTTATTTGTTCGTGGGACAGCGGAGTTTTCACAGCATCTAAGATTTTATTGGAAAGCCTTGTCTTCCATCTGTGATTAAAGGGATGTATGTTTGATCTCAACTTTCTCGTATAGCTGAGTGTCTCAATTGCTGACATCTAAATTTAGATGTTTTCTACTTTTGTCTAGTCTGGCTTAACTGCTAGCAGTAATGTTCTCATCACTGTATTAAAACTGTGTTCACTGTGTTAAGACTCAGCTCCTTTAAAATTAAATAAAAAGCAGAACTCTCCAGTTGTTTTAACTTTAGTTGTTGTATTTTTCCTACTGCTCGTCTTCAATTTGCTTTATCAGTAACTTTGACAACACCAGACCAGGAAAGCTGTTGCTTGTTGTCTTGTGGAAGTAAACTATTTTTAGAGCCTGTACTGTCCTACCTGCCTGTGATAGTCTGTCACATGTTTTTTTCTGTATCAGTTTTATGTGCCATCTCTCTCCATGGCTTACTAGGTATAAAGAACTGTAGAAATCTTCATGCAGGGTGAGAGAGGACTCTTGAGACCTTCTGTTTGTTGCTGGTTTTGGTTTGGGTTTTGTTGGGGTTTTTTTTCTGTAAAAGGGTATTAATTTAGGTTGTCAAAAGATCTTGCATATTTTGTGGAAATGTCTCACATGAGAACAAAGTAAGCAAGGTGCTTTAAGCAAACTGTGTGTTTGTGTACTGGCATTACTTAAGAATTCTCATGATGGAACAGAACAGCAGCTCTTGAGTTAGTAGGAGCCAGTTAAATCTAAATGTAAATATATTTCTGAGGTTTCTCAATGACTGTCATTGAGTTGAGGTTAAGAAAGATGCTGTCCAGCCTGAATGGTTACTCTTCAGTAAAAGGAGAAAGCTTGAACAGACTTCTTTGGGTGCCAGGCTGTTCTCTGAAATCCTGAGGCACAGACAGTAACGTGCTAAGCCAGCAGGTGAGAGGGGTGAGCTCAGGCTTTGCTTGGACATACACCTTTCACAGCAGAGACTTTATCATTTTGCCTGTTTAAGCTTGGGCTCATGTGACAAGCTGTGAGCAAAACCTTGGACAAAGCCTTTGAGAAAGTGGTCTGTGTTAGTGCCCTTGTTGCTGCTCTCTGAAGAAGTCAGGTCTCAATGCTGGTAACTTGCAAAGTTAACTTCAATTCTTCTAAAGCTGGGTTGCTTCTAACACTGAATTTTTTTGGTTATAAGCCGTCTTGGAAAGGAGTTGGGCAACTCTTGAAAAGTAACAGAGAAGGGGATGATGAGCTTTGCATGGACTAGAATGCATTTTTGTGGGAGGAGGGAAGGGGAGAGCAAATGCATGTGTGTGTAGGGGTAGGTGAACACAGGAGAAAGGTCTTGGGGGTTTGTTGCTTCTCAGTGATTAACTGCAATCATGTTTACTCTCAGACAAGAACCATGTGATGTGGGCTATGGACAGCTGATCACGACATGTGGTTGTTACAGGACGAGGTTTGCTGTGGATTGGGAGGTTTAGGGTAAGGTACAGTTTCATATACAGCTTGAGCTGATGCAGTAGCTCATTGCTGCCAAGATGGAAATGCCTGCCTTCCCATTCCTGCCATTTAACCTTGTACTCTGATGGTGCTTTTTGGACATCGATGAACTGATCTGACCTATTTAAAAGATGGCAAAACTTCCTTGTCTTGTTAGTCTTCTGCCAGTTTTTGTGACTAAAGTGATAAGCAATGGGAACAATAGGGAGGCTGTCCTGCTTTGGTGACTGAGTTTAACCCAGTTGTGGGCTATAATCAAAAAGAGGTTATCACCTTGGAGTAGGCTGATGAGTCTCCAGAGAAGGGGGGAAGGAGAATATTACCACAGCTTGAGGCAGGGAGTTGTTTACAAGGTGGTCAGGTGCAGGAGATGGTGAGAAACAGTGCAGAAATGAAGTAAGTGAAACAAGACTGAGTCCCAGGCTCTCACTTTGTCAGGGCTAGACAGCAGGTCAGTTGATAAGATCAAACTAGAAGGTTGTGCAGTAGTATATGTGGATTAATTGTGATTTTTTTCTTTTTCCATTTCTGCCTCTGTTTTTTCCTACATCTTAGAACTGTTTTGTCTGTAGTGGTAGATGGGTTACTGCTCCCTTTGTATGCCACCTTACACTGTCCTGAATGAAGATTAGTACCCCAGTACCTGGGTCATAAACAAGTGGGGTACCTTTACTTACAGTAAAGCAAACCTTGTCTGGAGTAACTGAGAAGCTCTGTAGTTTATGGTAGCAAGAAGATGAGCATGTCTCAGTTTCAGCTGCATGAGTCAGCTGGAGAGCAGCTATCAGATCTGAAGCAGAAGTGTCTTCCAGGAACCAGGAAGTGGTATTTCAGCCTGCAGTCAGAGTGCTTGTGAGCTGGAGGCTGCAGGGAATGTGTCATCACAGAAGATAAAGAGGCATTAAGAGACAACTCTGACTAGAACTCTGATATATTTAATGTGATACCAGGTAGATATTATCTTCTGTTTGGACCAAGAAAATCTTCTCTTCTGAAACTGCTGGATTTGCTTGCAGCTGGATGTGTGAACATGACAGAGGTAAAAGTCTGCATCAGTCAATCACCAGAAGTTTTTCCCGTGGTTATTGATGGGTTATTTTCTGTTGAACATGAAGCTGAGTACTTACTGGCAGAGCCCAAACAAAATGGGCTTCCATTTTGGAATGGAAACTTGAGCAAGACACTGTAGTGCAAATACTAATAGTGATCTGAAACCTGCTAAGAAGAAGGTGGCAGCTGGAAATTTGGAAGAATTTCACAGGTCTCTATCTATTTCTTGGGAAGTCTCTCAAGTAATTCCTACTCAGTCTGCTGCCAGGTTACCTTTCTGATTTTGTCATAGTATGTTTTCAGTTTAGCTGTTAAAAACCCAAACCAACTAACCAACCCACCCTCTAAATACAGGTCTTTTTTCTTAAGAGATTAATTCACTGAGTAAATCAAACTTTTACCTCTACTACAGCAGTTCTGTACTGATGGGGAAGGGGCTTACCATGACTCTGTGTTGTGAGGGAGGGGAAGAATGACAAGATTATTGTGAATACCTTCTATGATAAAATGTAGTAGAACAATGAGCTGTTTGTAGTTTTTGTTAATAACTTACTGTGCATTGCTTAGTTTATCATTGGAGTGTGACTTTCTAGCCGCAATGTCCACTTGCTATTGAGTTCTGTAAATCTGAGTAATTATAAAATTATAAAAAAATTATTAAAAAATTATATTATTATAATTTTAATTTTGTTCTTGCAAACTCCCTTCCTGTACCTGAGGGCATGAACCCCTTACAGACATTGCCTACATAAACACAGAGTGTTTTACCAGCTATTCTACTACCCTTATCTGGGTGAAAAAAAATTGCAGTTTTTTTAAGCTTGAATAGCTACAAAATGCTTTGTTTTCAATAGGTCTGAGCAGCAAGAGAACAAAACAAATTGAAGTAAAAGGGTTGTGTTTTTTTAAGGGCTATCTACACTGCTGATCAGTTGTTTCTATCTAATGTCAGTGCTCTGTGAGAACATGTAGGTGGAGACAGTCCACCTTTGAAAGGGGCTTCAGGGGGGAGCAGTACACAGAGATGTGGGAACAGGGAAATAGTGTTGTTTGAAAATGTAGTAGACACCCTTTTCAATTAAAGAGAATAAATTGGTAAAAGGCAGTTGTGTGTTTATGGTAGGCTGCCTACACAAGCATGCAAAGAAATCCGTGGAAGTGGGCTGCTCCTCAGTGTGTTTTGGGATTTGGCTTCAGTGTGCTTTATGCCAGGGCCCATTTATCTGTGCTGAAATGGTCTGATTTAGTTCAGCAGTGTTGGGAGAGGGAGGAAGCCTATTAGGCCTCCTGCAGCGATCTCGTGGCAGATGAGTTGGAACTGTGAGAACAGCATCCTCTGGAAAGGTTAGTACAAGGGAATGAGGTAAACCCCCTGCTCAGCTGGGTATGGAGCTCCTGTCTCAGCCATGCTGGGCTGTGCCCAAGAGCACTCTGTGCTAGCATAGCTCTCCCTGTCCAAAAGGCTGTCCTCCTCAGCACAGGGCTCTCCTTAGTTTATGGTGTCAAAAATGTAGCATTGCAGAAACTGCTCTCCTGTTGGTGCTCTGCAGAGGGGGAGGAAGCTGGAATGTCAGGCTTTAAAGAGGGGCAGCTGCTCTTGTGGCACAAAAGGAGAGGGATTGGGCTGCAAGGAGGGCTTGCCCTTCTGCCCCCCTCTGTTGAGACTGTACCTGCAGTGCTGCATCCAGCCCTGGAGTCCCCAGTGCAGGAAGGACCTGTTGGACCAAGGCCACCAAGGTGATTAGAGGAGCACCTCTGCTGTGAGGAAAGGCTTAGAGAATTGGGATTGTTCAGCCTGGAGAAGAGAAGGCTTTGGGGTCGCCGTAGAGCCTCTTCCAGTGCTTAAAGAGGTTCCAAGAGAGCTGGAGAGGGACTTTGGATAAGGGCATGGAGTGACAGGACAAGGGGAATGGCTTCCCACTGACCGAGGGCAGGGTTAGATTGAATGCTGGGAGGAAATTTTTCCCTGGGGGTGGTTATTCTGTGAAAACTGATGAAGAGGGAATTTACAGTGGTTGAGGTTACCTTTGTGTGACTACATTTTCCTACAAGCTGTTAAGCACTGCAAGATGGAGTGTTTCCTATGTTCAATAGAACAAGAGAAGGTGGCTGAAGTGTTTTGAAGTGGCAGCTCTTTCACTTCTGATCCTGGCTTCAGTGGGGCTGTAAACCTTTTACTGTGTGTAGCTGATCTGATCATGGCCTACTGAAGTTTTCAAGGTTGCTAATGCAACAGCTAATAAACTGAGATTTAATGCTTCACAGATCCATAAATGTTCCTGTAAACTTTTATTTGAATTGCCCTTCTGCTCTCCTGTGGTGACTGTGTGATACTTGGGGTATGAGTAGTACACCTTTCCCCCTTATGCTGCCTGCCAAAAACTGTCCTGAGAAAGCTCTTGCAGCGTGGACAACTTCCAGTGCTTACCTTTTTCTTTCTTTCCCTGCCATCCCCCAATCCCCACCCTGCTCCTGTTTGTCAAAATTGTCATAGCTGGTTTTAGTGGTGTTGCCATGTCATGGCTCCAAATAATATATGGTTGCAATAGTGTAAGGTTTCCAAGGCTGTTGTAATGCAAGTCTTACCTGAATTCTCAGATACTCTTGTCCCAGGTGCAAGGGTAATTTTGGGGGATTGGAATAAAAGGGTGGACAGGGTTTTCCTAGTCCCAGCTCAACTCTGGCAACCTCCTACCTCTGACCAATGCTTGTAAACCAAGGGAGCTGGTTGACCCCGTGTAGCATTGTGAAAAGATAATTGAACTAATCACCTGGCCCTTCTGGATAACAGATCTTCCACCCTTTGCCATTAAGTAATAGATCTGTTAACTGCTGTAGTGGTATTCCAAGTTCAGGGTTTGAGCCCTGCTGACATGGAACGTGAATGCAAGGAAGCTGTTGCCACTGGAGATAACAGAAAATGTTTTTCACTTTTGTTACATGTCCTGAAAACAAAGCCAGGATGTAAGAGACACAAATAGCTCCAGCATGTAAAAGAGATTTACACTGGTTAGGTGAGAGTTAGGCACTTGAAAGCTAGGAACGAATGGTTTCGTGGTTGCCTGTGCAATTGTTATGAACTTTTTTTGGGATGCATTGTAATGCAGCTTTCAATAGGACCACGGCCTGTCTTTCTGTTTTGCTTCCCCTGAAGAATGCACCAACTCATTTTACAGCCTGACATAAGGCAGAATGAATATTGTTTGTGAAACTTTTGCTGACTCCTTTGTAACAGTTAGTCTTTGAGTTTGTGACTGGAGACTGATGTGTTAGGCCCAGTTATGTTAATGTTCCTGAAGCCATAGTTCCTTGTGCTTCTGTGGTTACAGAGAAGAAATGTTCTTTTCTACAGTGTCTAATTTTAATTAGTATTCCAGCAGCTTCAGGCAGTACAGAAGACTTGTGGTGACTTCCCTCCCCCTCCATGGCAAAAAATCAAGCCAGCAGCCTGAAAGATGGATTTTGGCCTAGAAGCTTTTGTACAGAGTTGCAGGAACTGACTCCTGAGGCTCAGCCCCCTTTCAGCCTACATAGCACAAATCACAATCAGGCAGCCTGTGTTCTGCTCTGCTAGTGACGGAAAAGGAAAAGGATTGGGGAGGCAAAATACGTCTTGTGTCAGGTTGAATTACCCTATTTTATAAACTCAGTTAACTGGCTTTATAGTCTTGATTTAGATGATTATCCTTGGCTGAAAAAGGAGTGGATGATGGCATTATGCTGCTATTGTGTACTAAAATATCATTGTCATGTGATCATGTCTCCAGCTAAGGTTCTGATTTTCAGTCTTGTATGGACAAAAAAATAGGATGCACGATTTTCTTACCATCTTTATTTTGGAGATGCAGTGCCTCGCCTATGCCTTTTATTACTACCACATTCAGAGCTGTAGCTCAGTCTCCCAAAAGGTCATCTTCAGCCTTGCCTCATTCTGGTACACCCAGATCTGCCTCATTGTCAGCAGAGATAGTGGTACTGAAGTGTACAAATTACCCATTGGCAAGCACAGCAAGCACGTCCTGATACAGTCCATTCCTGCACTTGGCATCAGTCCTCCTGCTGTGAAACTGTCTAGAAGTGATCCTGTTTTGCTGGGGAAATAGGCAACCTGAAGTTCCCAAATGAGCACGTGATGTTGCCTCACACTCTAAACCATGAGCCTGGGCAGAAGTATCGTAGTAAAAGGAAGGGCACACAGTATTTCTTAACTAATGAGAAGAAAATGGCTTTTTGACCAAATTGTGAAATACTGCCAGCTGGTATTCAGATCTTTTTCATATGAGGAGTTGTCCAAGAGAGATGAAGCATGGGGTGTAACTGTAAGAATCTGCTGAGTTCGTACTATTGTCTTATAAACATGTTTTTTGTCCTTCACTATTAAATGACTGAAAGCTGACTGTACCAGGACAGTAAGACTTAAAAAGTATGGCATTTTTTTTGATTCTTGCACTCTGCAGCAAAAATGATGCAGTAGAAGGTTAGCCTAGAAGGGTATGGTGAGCTCCTTGAGGATTGTGTATCACAGAATAAACTACAACTTGCTTTAATATATCAAAGAAACCCTCATAAATGGAGGCAGTAAAAGGCCATTATTGCAATTTGATGCTATCACAGAACTGCTGGGTGGGGTTAGTAACAGACTGAGTAGCCTACAGTCCATGTCATTTAAGTAAGCAGAGAAAAAAATCCAGTTCTCTTAGCAACCTCATTTTGAGGAAGATTTGTCATTCCTGAAAGTAGACCTGGCTGAAAATTAAGCAAAAATGCAGTTTTAAAGTGCACAGTATGTTAAATTGAATTAAGATGCAGTGCGGTGCTCCTGCTGTGCTGGAGGGTCATGCAAGTACTTTTTTGGACTGGATCAAATATTGTTTAGACTTCATTTATGAATGTGTCAGAATATGGATCCACTTACTAAATACATGTTAGTGTTACACAGAAAAAACTGTTTTCATTATAAGTTCATTTAAAGGTAAGATGCAGTTGGTG